AAGTGAGGAGTCAATGATAACTTAGGACTTCCCTTAGTCATTTTTCTTTTCTTCCAATTCCTCATCTTCTTTCCCCAAGACTTGTCTGTTTCTGTCTCTGCGTGCTGAGATACCCGAAGGATGTCGATCGACAATGAACTGGTTGTATCGATGGATGGTATCTGGCCGGTGTCGATCGATGGTATCCGGTCTGTTTCGATCGATGCTGCTTCTGTTGAACCTTTGTCAATTTCACCTCTACATCTCAATCCTTTCTAAGAAGCTTCTACGTGCTGATGATCATCTAATAACCTAATGTAGGAACCTGGTTGCACACTTCTATCTGGTTGGATAGGAAATCAACATATAATATTGCGCAAGGAACCACGGTCTTCCTAGGATCATGGATCCTTTTCACTCTTTTGTGAATCCGAACAGCTTCTTCTGTGCAGATAGGTAGTCTCTGATGTTTAGGGATAACAAGGTGTGATGTCTCAGACTTGTGCATTCTCTCCTCAATCGATTCCATCTCAACTGTGTATCCTGGTAGCTCATCCAACCATGGGTGTCGATCGATGCTTACAAGTTGGTATCAATCGATGCATTCGGGTGGGTATTGATCGATCTCATCAGGTTTGTGTCGATCGATGCTAGCCTTTGACGAAGTCTCCAGATGTTTTCTCCCTGTGTTATGTTCATCATCAAACTTGTGCTCCGAATTCTGATCCATATCCTTGAGCCAATCCTTCAGCTCTAAGAAGTCTTCCATAGAGGCTACTCTACTTAGACCCAAATCTCCAAGCTTTTCTCAATCCTCCGACTCCAAGAATTCTTCTAGCTTTAAGAAATCTTCCATGGCGATTTGTTTTTCTATATCTGAGGAAAGAGAACAGTTTGATACACCAGTGCTCTCCTGTGTTGAATCTGCATTTTCCAGAGGACAACTCGATTTCTAAAGAGTAGGTGTCAATCGGAAACATGGGTTTCTGACAATCAATGCTGAGATACTGTTGTCGATTATTTCTGAGAGTATATCGTCGATCGATTCTAAGGTGGTCGTATCGACCGATTCTGTTGTGGTGCTGCCGATCGATTTTGAGGTTTTGCTGTCGATTGATGGTGAGGTCGAGCCTCCAATACAAGCTTCTTCTATTCTGCTCAGCTCTCCAGATCCATCATGCTTATTATACATTGCAATTACATACTCGAAAAACTGGCTTGGAATCTCGTCTTCTCTATTTATCCCCCACATGGCGTAGATCTTGTCCGACTTATCATTGATCTCTTTCTCTCGAGCTGCTGCGACTTCAAGAAATTTGTTGAGGAATAAGGTTTTAATGTCCTCCCAACAGGTTAAGGATCTTGGCTGCAACTGATTGAACCAGCTAAATGCATTTCTAGATAAAGAATAAGGGAAAATCTTGCAGATAATGTGGTATACCAATACTTCGTTCTGCTAGCTAGCTGAGGCTAGCTCCTCAAGCTCTTTGATATGGTTTCTGGGATTTTCATGAGGAAAACCGTGGAAAGGGTCCTCACTTCCCCAGTCATACCACTGACGGTTTAACTGGAAGTCATTCATCTCAGCAACAACAATGACATCAAGGATCACATCACCGTGTGCATTAATCATCTCTCCTTATATGTTGCGAGGTTGACCTTCTCTATCTCTTAACATACCATTCTCATCTACCTTAAGTATGAGAACTTCAACCTTCTCCTCTACGCAAGTGGTGTTTGTCGAGACTTGATAAATAGTGTTTGGATGAACAGTATCGACCGACATTTTTTTAGCATTGCCGATCGATTATGGGATCATGGTATCGATCGATTTTGATATAGTGGTATCAATCGATGTGGAGGTCATATCATCAATACCGGTTTCTTCTACTCTACTTGGCCCTCCAGATCCATGTTGTTTATCATCCTCTACCATATGTCTCGTCATTGACTTCATCTCAATCTCTAGATTTGCTTCAGCATCATAGATAAATTTGTTAAAGAAGACTCTCATGATATCAATCCAAGTCTTGAAGGATTATGGTTTTAACTTCTTGAACCAACGTGCTGCTTCTCCAGAGAGAGCGTATTGAAAGAGTTTGCAGAAGTGGTATTCTTCAGGGACTTCATTAAAAGAGAGACCAGATCAGTTCTTCAAACATTTCAATATGATCCGTTGGTTTCTCGTCAGGAAGGCCATAAAAGAGACGCTGACTCATAAGAATGATATACACCAGTGTCAGCTAAAAAACAACTTTCTTTGTCCTTCCGCAAGTAGTGTTGATCGATGTTGGGTGTTGCTGGCGATCGACGGGCGATGAACGTTGTCGATCGACACGAAATGAACTGTGGTGATCGAGGGGAAGTAAACAGCATCAGTCGATAAAAGATGAACTATGTCGATCGATTTTGAGAGAGCAGTATCAGTCAACACAGGGTGAACTGTGTCGATCGATTTTGGGAGAACAGGGTTTAAGTAGTCTTGCAAGGGCAATTTTATTTCTTCACCTTTATTCAAGGTGGAATCGATTATAACAGGGATTTTGGTGCCCTTTTTATTTTCAAATTTGGCTAATTGCATTGCTTATTTGACCTCTTGGTTAAGTTTGGACTACTTTCTTATTAACAAGTGTGGTAGGTGAAGACTTACATGCTTCTAGCGGGGCGATGTCGATCGATTTTTATGATTATGTGTCGATCGATGTGTGGTGTACTATGTCGATCGATGTTGCTTGGAGGGTGTCGGTCGATTCTTCTCGCGTAGGCTTACGGATCGTGCATAGACCCGCATGTTCCTTCCTTGAAGTACTCAGAAATCCTCTCTTCATTTTTTTCTGGTACTGAGATATGTAACTGAAATAGAAAAAAAAATTTGTCAGTTTTTCGAATAGTAACAAAACCTAGAATAATTCTAATGAGATCTAATGGCGATCAGATCTCCCCGGCAACGGCGCCAAATTTGATATCACTCAAATTACCCTAAAGAGTGACTTTACTCTCTCAAATAAGAGGTACAGTTGTAGTACTTAGGGATCGAATCCACAAGGAGCTAGGGAACCAATTAGATTTAAACAGTTATGAATAATCTAGACAAATAAGTAATAAAAAAGTAGATAAATTATAAAGCAGTGAAGAAAGTAAATTGAAATAAAATAGTAAACAAGATGAACAAGACAATTGTTCAGCTCAGCAGAGAGTAGTTTGATGGAAGGATGGTTGATAGTCTAGGGTTTCTATTCAGGGATTGGAGATAATAATCCTATATGTGCTAAACAAGTGTATGCATGATATTGAAGAGCTTAACCACTAAATAACAAATTCATTAGGCATTTGATTTACTGAATAAGTTAATTAACTAGATCTATTTACCCAAACAAGAATGTTCGATCAATAGCAGTGTCGATCAATTTTTTTAGGAATATCGATCGATTTACTTCATACAATGACGATCGGTTTCCAATTGGAATATCGATCGACGCGGATAATTAAGCTTAATATGCGAGTTAATTATACTCACTATGGACTCCCTAAATCAAGCGTTCGCCTTCTCTCTAGTAAAATCCTAGCTTAATAAGATAGATTCAGGATATCTAGGATTGTCTAAAGGTTGTTCACACAATCTAAACTCATTAGATCAGGTTTCTAATTAGCTAATCTAGAACATAGACATTAAGAACATCCTATTAATAAATATCACAACAAGCGATCCTATAGTTGGGGCTAATCCATATAACCTATTTGAATCCTAAACCTAACAGGTGGATCCATTCAGACATGAAGTTTGTCACAGAAATCATAGATGAACATGTATGAAATATAAAAGCAATACAATAAATTATAAAACCAATGGAATTGCAGGGGTACTCTGATGGAGTTCCTCCCTTCTCTCCTAGAACTAAGAACAAGAACAACGTAAAAAGAGGGTAGCCGTCAACAATGGCTTACAAAACACATAAATAGGATTTCTGGTCATCAAGAGGTGTCTTGGTAATTTAGGTTTCTTCTGGAATTAAGTTGGTCTTGAAATATACTATATCCGTGTTCTGTGATCCATATCTATCGACACAAATCAGGCTCCACCGATTGATTTTTCTTTATCTTCCCGACAGCTTCCTCTCGCGAGATAGACTGGCCACTCTTCAGTAAAACGGGCATAACTTCTGCTACAGGATGCTGATTGACCTCCAACCAAAGGCATTGAAAAGATAACTCAAAGCTCTATTTTTTAGTTAAAGATGGGCTCAATCTAACAGTGGGAAGGTCTCCATCCATAGCTAAACATCAGACACATCTGTGCAGTTCTGCACTCAAAAGACTCTGAAAGACACCAAAATCACCATATTTCTCCAGAACGTATCTAAACCTGTAATACTATATAAAGCCTCTATAATATAATAAATATTTATTAAAACACTCATATACCATAACTAAAAATGGGTCAAAATCATGGTATATCAATCACTTCTGTAATTCATAGCCCGTGAATGCTCGCTGGAAGAAAGAGTGGCATTGAAATCCCCCAGTATAATCTACGGTAAATGAAGATGACTGTAAGCCGCTTGTGTACCCCTGAGATCTTCCCACAGTGAAAATCTTTCCCCTACTATATTGAACGCATAGATCGCCGAACAGATAAATTGTTCCCCCGTACTCGGAATTTGAATGGCACATGTAATAACTTAAGCACTCATGTGCAGTTTCGTAACTACCACATCACTAGACCAGCAAAACCCAAATTCTTCCCAGGTGTGAAACTCATACTTTGTTGAAGAGTTCCAAGTGGGCATAGCTGCATTCATACACCGTTGATGATTGTGTTCCTGTATTCTTGTTTCCAACAAACATCCAAAAGATGGCTTTTCTTCATACAACCATGATCTGAGGGATCTATGCTTGTGTGTCAGGTTGAATCCACGCATGTTCCAAGCGAAAAAGGACTTCATAACTTCCTACCGGAATTTTTTTTCGAAGTGCCTTGCATCCCCACTTACAATAAATCCTTAGAACGAGCAACCTTGCCCCTAGTTTGCTTCACAGCCATTGCAGGGTGCCTGCCATTCATTGTCTGAGATCGCTGTACCTTCTTTCCTGCCATTTTGCTCTCTAATATCTCCCCATCCGCAACTTCAACTTCCTTTGTTAACTCTTCATCCCTTTCCTCTTCCTTCTCTTCAATGTCCTGTAGAGGACTATACCTGGATGGAGATACTTCAATCCCCTCCACAGCCCCAGTGCTCACTTGCAATGATCCTCTAAGGTTCCGATTACCACTCTCTTCTATTCCGTTTCTCCCTTCCTGCTCCCTTCCACTCTCCATGTAAAATACTTCAGTAGTGGGCTCAGTCAACTGGATCCCTTGTGATATTTCTTTGGCTTTTTGGGTGGTCACGTCGACTATATCAGTATGAGGAGTGGTCGCTACCAAATCCTGAAGAAGATTACTTATTATCCCGCCTTCCAAACCAACTTCCTTTGCAACCTCAGCCGGTCTCTCGTCATGCTTTCCTTTCTCCTCACCTTCTGATTTCTTCAGCAATTTGATTTCGTGTCCTATACAGTCTTGACCCTTATACCCCCATTTCCGACAAACAGTACACCTCGGTGGAAGCCATGGAAAGCTTACCTCAATCTCTTTTTCATCTCCCTCCTTATTCTTAAAAGTGATCTTTTCCACTAGAAATTCATGGAGATTCACTTCAGTCAACACACGCGCTACATCCAACTGGATACAACACTCTGTGTGGGGATGTATCTTAACAAATCGCCCTACTGCTCTTGTCAAAAACCTCAGTACTTTGTGAGAAAAAGATCATTTGGGACTCCACACAAGTTGACCCATAATGGCACTGAATACAGATCAAGTGGGTTAAGCACCGATTCAGGTGACCAAACATTAACCACTAATGGAACATCTGCAATATGCCAATATTTCCTCTGCAAAACCCGAGTTCTCATCTTACTGTTATCAATGCGAAAGAGCACAGTATTCTTCTTGATAAACTGTACATTAATCTTTGATCCGGTTTTGGTAGAGTACCAAATACGATTTAAAGTTGCATGTACTGAAATCTCCAATGAAATAACCCACCACAAACGACTTCCACAACAGCTCTGATTCATCAAAGATATCATCCAGAATCCGCATCGAAGCCACTCCTCCATCAACCTCAATAAGCGGGTCTGAAGTACCAGCTTGAGATTTCTTCAACCACAGTGAATCAGTCTTCTTGCCCGAATCTGGAGACCCATTAAAAGCCCCCATATTCCCACTTACACTCTCCTTGTGCATCCTATCCTTAGCGAGATCCAGAGACCCGCCTTCCACACCTATCAATTCAGCATCCCTAGCTGAAGAAGGAGCCAGATCCCCTCCCTGCAAATCAGTCGAGCCCGCCTCCATCTTTAGGGTTTTCATCTTCTGTGTTGCCGTCGCCAAGAGTCACCATCTTCATATTTCTTTTCGACATTGAATGGTTTCCGAAAGCGTTAGTATCCATCTATTGATATATTGTAGCATCCCTCTTTGCCAAAGCTACCATTGGAGTCTTTATGAATCTTAAGACAAGAATTTGTCAAAAATGATATAAATATATGTTATTATTAACTTCAGCGAAAACATGATAAAGAGCATTGGCTATTAATTGTTCTCGGTCAGATATGAAATTCAAATGTTTACTATCATCTAGCAAACCACGAAACTGAGAAAGAAAACGTCCCCATAAAACGTCATTATTTGTGTTGACAGACTCAAAAGCTATAGAAAATATACCCATGTTTCCATCTCGACACCCATCTACTAACATAACACCTCTGAACATATTACTTAGATGTGCTCCATCTGCAACAATAAATCTCCTCATGAACTCAAAATCTTTGATACATGCACCAAAAGCAATGAACAAATGAATAAACCCTTGTTGACCATCAGATTCAAGCTGTGTAAATGTGGCCTTCTCTATTTAGTATACAAAGGTAAGTGTCTCTAACCAGCTTTTGTGCATATGCCGAGGCACTATGACTTTCGTATAACCAACGTCATTATTATTTACTGTCTTCATACAGTTCATTATATGTTTTGGTCAGATTTCTTTAAGATCACTAGAGATTTTCCCGGACTACATCCGAGGAATATTCCTATTAGTTTTAATTAAATTATAAAAATTAACACTCATATATGTGACTATAATCGTGTATATATGTTACAATAAATTTTAAACTATTTAATTGGTAGAAAATTTAAAATATATTTTTATTTATTTATTGTTTTGTGTCTAACAAATTTAAGATAATTTGAACTCAGAATTTTTGTATGTTATTTATGAATATCATATATAGAACTATAAATAGAATTAGGAAAACTCACTAAACCTATTTATAATTTAAATACATTTTGTTTTATTTTTAAAGTTCTGTATAAAACAATTGTAAATTTACAACTGGTTTAAACTTTGTTTTGACTTCAGATTCATTGAGTTTAATTTTTTTTTGTCATCAACTTAGCTTACTCAACTAATCATTGACTTTTAATACCAACTTGAACACTTTCATAATTAGTGAGGATTTTAGAAGTTATTTTAAACTGGGGTACACTTTATCAGCAAAGTTGAAAAATACACTGAAACTTTAAAAACCATGGTGGGCAACTCCCCCCCCCCCCCCCCCCTTGTCCATACTTCCGCCACTGTTCATAATCCCAATATATAATGGAATCAAAAATTTTCCAAACGTAAAAAGAAAATATCATTGTCCAAGCCATACTCAACTAAATAACAAACATTTTCTTTTACGAAACCTCATAGAATACATAAAAAAAAATTCCAATTGTACTTTTGGTCACTACTGATCACAACTTCTTTCCATGAATAAATGCATATGAAAACAGATAAAGAAAATAACATTATTCACCCACATGTGTCGGATCGTTCCAAATACACAAAGTCCAGAACAGAAACTTGCTAGAAACCTGTAAGATAATGGGATATCAGTTCCCAGTCATGAGTAGTAGAAAATAAAGGTAAACATTCGATGCTGCAGAAGCATTATATTAGGAATTTAATGGTATAATCTATATTTTGTATTTGTCTGTCGGTGATGATAATAATCATATACCAAAAAGCATGTATGGAGATCTATTTAGTGACAAACGAGGAATTCTGAAGATGACCTTGAGATATTTGAAGCACGATCCTCCAAGAACATTTAGGGACAAAAAGATTTCGCGAAAATACACGTTACCAAGATTTCTTGATGTTAAAATCAAATAACTCAAATCACTAAAACCTGCGTAATTTCTTGTAAATAAATATGTTACCATCCTTAAATGGTTTCACTCTTCTGTTGATGTGATAACTTCATAGTTTGTATTAAATATTTTCAAAATAATCTAAATCTGCAGTATTCTTTCTGACAACACGCATTTGATTTTCAATCACATCATGACGACCATAGTTTGCGCTCCGTGAGATACAAATACGCATAAGGTTTTGGCTTGGACAATTTGATAAATTTTACAAGTTTTCTACCATCGTTACTTAAGAACATCGGTGGTGTGTTGCTAGGCAGTTGCTCCAATATAATTTTAGGCAATATATTAGTAGCCACCACAACCGTTTTCATCTCCATAATCATCTATCTTATTAAAACTGTAGTACCTTTTAGGTTTGTTTGAAAACTTAAATATCTATATTATTAAAACTGAAGTACCTTTTGATATTGTTTGGAAATAAGAATAGCAAAATAAATAAAACATTGTTTGAAAACATGGATAGTAGTTTAAATATTTTCTTTTATTTGTACATTTAGCCATTGTATTTACAATAAATTAAATACTTTTCTTTTGTATTTCTTTTTATTTACAGATTATGTCATTGCATTTAAAATCAGTTTAAGTTAATTAATTTCAATGATTTTTCTTTCTATGTGATGAAAATAAAAACACAAACCGAAATATATAGTATACATTATAAAAAACAATTTTTAAATTTAATATTACCTTATTTAATTTAGTCAAATATAAAATTGTGTGAGTTCAATTTTTTTTTTTAAATATCATAAAATTAATAGTAATTCATAGAAAACTAATTCAAAAAAATATTTTTTAGTATATTGTCTTATTTTAAAATAAATTAACAAAAAAACAACATGTTAGTATATGAATAGTACGATTACATCAAATTGCATCAAGTTATGAAAATTCTAATACACTACTATGTACAAATAAAAATTATGATTAAATATTTATATTATAAAATAATAAATTTTACTTTCTATGTAAATTACAAAACATAAAAAATTTTTGTAAAAAACCAACGGTTTATGAATTTACTTTAAACACAAGTTAAATCAAACACCCGCACGGGGATGCGGGTCAAGTTATAGTCTAATCTATTAAAACTGAAGTACATTTTATACTTAACCCTTAAATTTCCTCAGTAATTACCACTGATTGCCACTGATTCTTTAACCTAATAATTAAATCTACTCCTATTAATTAAATCTGCTGGGGATATTCATTACTAGATATCGTTGGAGCCCATTATTTACAACTAAAAATAATTATTTGGGCCGAAATATAATCGTATCTATAAAACATATTTCCACTTTATAGTTCATATGCAGATATCTTATGATTATGAGAACAATTTTGACCTATTATTATGATACTTACACGTTGACCCCGAGACACAATATATAACTTATGATATTGATGACTTCCTATATGTATATTACAAATATAATTTCATGTGTAATGTACCATATCATCATATAATGGTATAATGTTCTCTTCGAACAACAACTGGTCCACTTTTGGTCTTTATGTATTTAAATCATTCGGTTAAAGTAACCAATCGATTCTGTTTTTGTAATCATTCATTTCAACATACACGGAATTTTTGAAAATAAACTAAATCTTTAACCAATCAGCCAAAAATCTTGCAAATATGAAAGAAGAGTCACGTGTCAAATAAGTTTTGACAATCAAATATGTAAACAACATATTACAGAAATATAGTCAACCAATTGAAAATCAAATCACTAACGTATATTTGATTACTCATAATAAATTTCAATTTCCGTAAAGGAAAAAATTCCTAATAACTTCCTCAAATTTAGATAACCACTAATTTCACAACTAATATACATTGCGTGAGTCACACTTTAGGATTGCATCCCATGATGTCTAACTGCTCTGCTATATACAAAATTCAAATATATTTTCGATAGGAATATTCTAATTTATATGGGCTATAATCTCGCATATATATAGCAGAATTAAGTAAAATATTTAATATCTTCCCGATCAAAAAAGTAATTAAGAAAGCCTGAAAATATCAAAATTTTGCTCATACTATCTATCACTATTACTAGAAATTATGTAATTCAAAATCAAAACTAAATTAATAATACAGTATTATCACTAGAAATTATTTAATTTAAAATCAAAACTAATCATTAATTATTTTTCTAAACGAAAATTTACCTTCCAAAAGTACTAAAATTTGGAATATAATAGAATAGTTTATTCGATTTTTAATGCTAGAAAATCACAACTAACAAACTTTTTAATAGCTTGACCACACATTCATGTATTTTTTGTAAGTTAATGTTAAGGAAATAGATTAGAATATAAGGATCTACATGTAAACACATAAGTCTATAGTTTAACCTACTTGTATTGCTGTATAAATACCTTCTACCCTTCTAATAAAGTATTCATTCAGCCTATTATCTATAGTTAATAATTATTTTATATAAATAGTGGTATATATTTTTAATATGCACCTATATTAAATAATTATTTAATATGTCATTTTTAAATATAATAATTGTATGGTTTACATTGAGTAGTTTTTCTAATCCTTAACTGTACCATCCATATTTCTTATCATATATTCACAGTTTGGATTTGTATTGGACTGTTATTCATATGAAAATATGTATACAATAATATGTTGAAAATTTAATTTATACTTTACAACTTAGATGAATATAATTTCATATTTATGAAAATAAAGTAGGTTAACCCATTAATTTAGTAACTTTGAGAGAACAACCGACAAATGACTTATTATAGTTATATATGGTTTTCATGCATTATATTGTTTTTTGATTAATTATATATGTTTATAAGTAATTAATATTTACTTTAAAAATTATTAAAAAGTTGAGACATAGAATAAATAGATAAGTATGTGTACTATGATGTAAAGATAAATATTTGTGTTATGAGTATTTACATATTATATATTTGAGATTATGTGGTGAGTTGGTTGTCTATATTTTAGACATGTAAACATATTATACTGTCTTCCAGAAATATATAGTGTCTTTCAATATAATATCAGTTAATTAAAATAAAAATTACTTATATTAATTAGTTTGAATAAAATATAAAATTCT